TAAGCAAAGGGACACTGTAGATTATCACTGGATGACTCAATACCTAAAGAAAAGTAGAAATACTGAGGGAAGTCTATAATAGTGTGTTATGGATTAAATTGTGTCCCCCAAAAATATCTGTCAACTTGGCTAGACCATGATTCCCAGTATTGTGTGACTGTCCACCATTTTGTGATCTGATGTGATTTTCCTATGCATTGTACATCCTTCCTCTATGATGTTAATGAGGCAGGATTAGAGGCAGTTATGTTAAGGAGGCAGGACTCAATCTACAAGATTAGGTTGTGTCTTAATTAAATCAATCTATTTTGAGATATAAAAGAGAGAAGTGAGCAGAGAGAGCGGGACCTCATACCATCAAGAAAGTAGCGCCAGGAGCACAGCGCTTCCTTTGGACCTGGGGTCCCTGAGCTGAGAAGCTCCTAGACCAGGGGAAGATTGATGACAAGGACCTTCCCCTGAGTCAACACAGAGAGAGAGCCTTCCCTGGAGCTGGAGCCCTGAACTCAGACTTGTAGCCTCCTAAACTGAGAGAATAAATTTCTCTTTGTTAAAGCCATTCACTTGTGGTATTTCTGTTACAGTAGCACTAGATAACTAAGACACAGGGCATACAGTATTATGTCCTTGGGTACAATCTGGAAGAAATATTCTACAGCAATAATCAGTTCTCAGACTTTAATATGTGCAGGATTACTTGGCAAGATAGTTATAAATGTGGGTTCTCAAACCCTACAGAATGTTATTCAGAAGATCTGAGGTAGGACTCAAGAAACTGCATCTTAAACCCCTCCCCTCTTGCCTGAACATCCAGAGCTGGTCACTATTAATATCAGATATTTTACGTGGGTCTTGCTTATACCAAGAAGTTCCCATACTTTTTATCTCTTAGAAGACAACAAAGTTTAGGACATTCTTTAACAACAAAGTAATTCACTACATAAGACAATGACTTTAAATTAGATTTCTGCATTTCTACACTTTATCCTTTTAAGTCTTACAGGTACGTCTCTTTTCCCCTCATAAGCTTTCTTAATTACTTTTATTTTAAAAAATCTTACATTGAACTTTGATGGTAATAAATGGTGGAAACAGCTTTGTATATCAGAAATGCTCCCAATTTCTAAAGATTAACTTCCTGTTAGTAATTTTAGTAAATCTCAACATTCAACCTCAGGGTTTTAATTAGCAAAAAAATATTACCCCTACAAAGAAGCATTGCAAAATTACTATGATATTGACACATTTAGTTAAACTTATTTAAACCATCATGTCCACCTGGTTGATGGGTGTAAGTCGCTCTTCATTTTGGAATTTAATTGGCTTAAACTTGCTAGATCAAAAATATGCTTTCGTTTTAAATATACTGGCTGGAAAAGCTGACGTAAAAGAAGGCACTATCTGTATTTCAGTTAACTCTGGTTATTTGTATTTTTAATTGGTCAAGAGAGCCCCTGCTTCCGGGTGAGGCTCATCATCTCTTCTCCCCACTCTCTCCTCCAGGTCTGATCTCCTGTCGGTTCCCAAGACGTATCCCACTCCTCCATCCTGCCTCCAGACCCTTCTCTGCACAGTGTTCCTTCTGTCCAGATCACTCCTTCTATCCTTCCCCTGTACTACCTCTACCCCCGATTCACTTGGCTGATTCGGCCTCAGTGAAATGCGGTAAGCCTTTCTTAACCCCACCCCATCCATTCTCCCTCAGAAGGTTAAGTTCTCCTGTTACCTCCTCCCACAGCACCACATACTTTTTCATAGCACTCTAGAGAGTAATACTTAATTATAACTTTTCCCTACTCGGTATAAGGTCCGTGAGAGCAAGGAACCAACAGTCTGATTAGCAATGTACTGGTGATCAATAAGAATCTGATAAATGGCATTTTAACTGAGCTATAAATCCTGACACAATTTCCTATTACATTAAAACAATTTTAAAGTTGTGCTTAGTTCTAGCTTTTGTTTTCTAAACACTGTTTAATGTAGCTCTTTTATTCACTTTATAACAGGAAAAGGAGGACTTCATCATTCTAAAAAATGATGCAAACGTTTTAGTACTTTTAAAACTTTAGATATAATGATTGACTCATACGATACAAGTAATTACAAAAAGAATTATGCCTGGAACATGTCTAAAAATTATCCTGAGTGCCAGGCTAACTGGACATTGTCCCCAAAAGAGCTAAGACCAGGAGGGATGGAGAATCACATTTGAAAAACATCGCCCCAGCTACATGTCCTGCTCCTTCTGTGACCACAGCGTACACTCACTGAAGGATAAACAGGGATTCTTAAAAAAAAGAAGTCATTCTGCTTAGGAATAGCAGAAAGGATGGGCTGGCATACTGGCACGGATGAGAGAATTAAGCAAACAATTTATTCCTATTAATTACAGAACTTTTTTGCAAAACATTAAAACTTTGTTTGGATTATACATTTTTGTAAATTACAAATAAAGAAAATTATGCTATAGGTGATCAATAACGAAAGATACAGTATTACCTAATATTCCCATATCTGTCCATACTGAAAGAACCATGCTTGACCACCATCTTGAAAGGTGGTTGGTGTTAGCAAGGCTTCCAACCATCATATGAACAGGGCCTTTAACAAAGCAATCCAGATTCTCCAGTGTGTCACTAATGGGATTAAAACAAAAAGGTGATTCTGGCTACACTGAAAAGCATCAAATAGCAAGGGATTTATTTAATAATAAGTATTTAATAATAAATAGTTAATATTAGAAACGACTAAAATTTCTCGTACACCTGCTACATGTCAGCACAGTGGTAGATGCTTTACACACATGGACATCTCATGTGCTCCTCATAAATACCCTGAAATGCAGAAAGGTATCCTCATTTAATAGACAAGTAAACAGGTTCACAGAGTTGAAACAGTCTGCCTAATGACATACAACTTCTAAGAAGGAAAGCTGGAATTTAATTCTAAAGCCTACACTCTTTCTTTTGCAGCCTCTCTGGGGAAGCAGGGTGTTCAATGAGATGCAGTATTAAAATTGCATTAAACAAACATGGATTCTCTTTTCTGGAACCCTACATTCTAAAATGGAAAACAATGTTCTCCCACAAAATACACATGCAAACCCAGACCAAGAAGCTCAGGGATAACCAGGCCAGGGGCTCCATCACCCACTAGTCCTGTCAGCCTTGCCCTATGAGTCCAAACCATGCCTTGGCAAAATGACTAATTTACTACATAGTATGGGCCTTCAGGTAACTAACAAAACGTTCAATCTATACATGCCAAGGTCCTACTGTCTGTAACCAGCAATACTTAATTTTTATTGTAAGGACTAAAGTAGAAATAATTGTATAGTACAGGATAAAGCTCAGAAATAATTATGTTAATACTGGGGATCAAGATTTTCTGCGTAAAAGAAAAGAGATTAACGTATAACATTGAAGAAGTTTGTTTGTTTTAAAGCCTTAATGTTACATTTGCATTGGAAAGATTAATGTCAAATCAGGATTTCTTAAAATATACTCTTTCCAAGCTCCATCAACTAAGAAAAGCCTAGAAGGATTAACGCCGTAGTAGCAATCAGCACCCCAAGCATTCAAGTTATGCTTTCTAACTAACATTCCCTAGTAAAAACTACCAGAACTCCTCAGAGTACTGGCTGATTCTGGTCTGAGAAAAGAAATATAAAAGTTAGCCTGGGAAATCTTAACCTAAAAAACAACATAGTAATCAAAGATTGATGGGTTCAGGTCAAAAGGACATAAGCATGAGCTGGAAATGACTCCCAATGACAAAATTTTGGACAACTTAAGCATCAAAAATAGAGTATAATTAACAGAAAGACGTAGAGCCTATAAAAATCCTTGAGTCCATAATGATACTCAAAAAGTCCTATCCAGGGTGGGGGGTGGGAGAGGTGCTTTCATTTGCTACATTGGAAGGGACTATTAGGTCAATTCTTTACTCTGAAAATTGGTACTTATTTATCCTGCCTTTTTCAATAAGAACTACAGTATAGATTAATCAAAGAGTCCCAGTTGACAAGGCAAAGTTCCTCTTCACAGAAAAACATCATTTATAAATGTAAAAGAAATTGTGAAATAAGAAAAATCACTGTTTTGCAATCCCTAATGAAACAACTGATTTAAACAAGGATTTTTAATAGATGCTAAAATGATGAGACAAAAGACTGATGGGGAACTTGATACAGTGCAAAATCTCACCTCACAGATGACTTGCTAGCTGAAAGAGAAAAAAGATAATGCTTCCAAGGAGAGGTCTGGCTGCCAAAATCCTAAGCAATCAAAATTAACATCACTATTAAAGATACAATCAGACAGCAAACGCTGCCAGATGTCGTGGAGCACACCGCATCACCTACAAAGGATTCTGTCTAAAACTTGTTTAACCTGAAGCTAATCAAGATCTAATTTTCAATCTGTAAGAAACAGAGGAAAACAGAACCAAGCTAAATACCACAAAAAGGAAATAACCAGATAAATCCAGAAAGTGAGACATTCTAAAAGATAACTGGACCAGACCCTTCAACAAGTCCATGTCATGGAAGCGGGGAAGGGGAAGAGAGCCATCCTGGATTAAGAGAGATCAGGAGGCATGACAACTGAATGCAATGTGTGGAAGCTGTCTCAGGTCATATACTAGCATCTTTAGTAACCAGTGGCCATCGAGTCAACCCCAACTCACAATGACCCCATGTGTGTCAGAACTGAAATGTGCTCCACAGGGTTTTTTTATTGGCTGATTTTTTGGAAGTGAACTGCCAGGACTTTCTTCCAAGGCATCTCTGGGTAGACTCGAACCTCCAACCTTTCAGATAGCAGCCGAGCATGTTAAACATCTGTACCACCCAGGGACTCCTACCATCTTTAACAGATACTGTAGTCTCAGTATCTTCTCAAATGTAAATATCCACGAAGACTAAACCAGGATAAAAAAAAGAAAACTCTTCATTTGCTTTTCAACTCATGGATGTTAACATTTTATTGTATTCTACTCACCTCCACTTAGCAGCTTCATGACCAGCCAAAGTTCATCTTTTACCACAAAAGACGTGTAGTAAGACACAATATTAGGATGATGGCACTGACTCATGGCTTGAATTTCCTTCTACAAAGAAAAGAAGAAAGCATGAGAACTCACTATATGCAAGCCTAAAACAAACATTATAAGTCAGCAAATCCAGATTTGAAATCTCAATACTATGTCACAACCTTTCTGGGATCTCCATGGCCTGACCTCCTCAGGAATAGTCAAGCAGTCCATTCTGACGGTACTCCCTCACTCATTGCACTAGCAATCCTTGAAACTATAAGCATGCACTGTTCACCCCTGGCACAGCACCGCAAGAGGCCTCCAGTGGGACACTGATTTTTACTTCAAGATACTTCCGAAGAGCCATCTTGGGAAATCTGGTTTTACAGGTCAAATCAACAGCAGATGCTTTTCAGTTTGTCTGCTCGTTTTTGAAAAATCTATACCTGTAACAAAATATCGGTTCAATGCATTCGGATGAGTAACAATTCTCACTCTAAGGAGAAACATACTGAAATAGAGACTCAGATGATTTGACCAAGATCTTAACCTAAATCCCAAGCAGAAACCTAAGCCAAAAGCCTAGACTACTCTATCTCAGCTTATGAATTTAGACTAGATTTGGTGTGGTAAAATGTGTGCAGTGTGATTGGGGCCCTGTTTACCTCACTGGTCTGATTTCTGCCCTCTCAACTGAGCCTACCCCATGATCCAGTCCCATGATCCAGCCAGAGTAAACTTCAAGTGACCCTGGACATTTATCCCTACGGTTCCCACTGCTTCAAATACACTTTCCCCATCATCTTTGCCTAGCTAATCCCTATTCTTCCTTCTGATCTCAGCCTAAGTATCATTTGCTTCCAGCCCCCCAAGGACAGTTAGGTGCCCCTTCTCTTGCCTTCCAGAACATGATATACTGGACAGTATATTGTATGTTTGTCCGTCTCTCCCCCAAGACTAAGAGCTCAATGAAGACAAGGACTCAACAGTGGATCGATAGTCACTGTAGAACTCGTTACACTATACTGCAACCGCCTATTTATCATCTGCAGCCCAGACAAACTGTGATCCCAATGAGGGCTAAGACTCTATTCCTGGCAATTATGGTGCACGACACACAGTACACTTGCAATAAATATTTCTCGAATGAATGAAATCCTGCAGCACTTTATACAGCTTTTTACTTATTCATGTACTTGTCCTATGCCCTCAGAGGGTGTATTTGTTCAAAAAGATCAATTGTGTGAAAGTTTTCCAAAATCCTTGATTCATACGCGCTAAATAAATGCTAGTTTTCCTTCCCTCATGTTCTCTAACATAACTTTTTTTATGGCAAGGACTTTGTCATTTGTATCTTTGCAAGCCCCAAAGTCACCAGCATAGTCTTCTGCATGAAAAGCTAAGTAAACATGAAGGAAAAGGAAGCAGGAACTAAAGTGAGCACCTGACACACCCAGAGGACTTGAGGAGATAAGCTGTGTACATATAAGAAGGAATTTATAGGACAATAAACACATGCCAAACGAAAGTAAAAATATTAAATGTTATAAGAATTCATAGAAAAGAACAGTTAAGGTAGGCAAGTGTGATCAAAGACGACTCTGCAAAGGAGGCAGGAACTAGATTTAGCTTGGCAGAACATAGAGAAATTATAGCAGTTTAAAAGGCTAGAAGTACAAATTCAGGGCACCAGCTCTAGGGAAAGGCCCTCTTTCTGCCTCCCTCTCTGTCCACTCTGGAGGAAGGTCCCTATCTCTTTTCAGCTGCTATTCCTAGGTTCCTTGGCAATCACGTGGCATGTATCTTTCCCTTCATCTGTACCCGCTTGTTTGCTTGTTTCATCTGCTCCTTTATATCTCAACAGAGACTGACTTAAGACCCACCCTACACTAATACTTCCAGCGCTGCATCGGTACGCTGACACATCTCAACTGGTATTCCGTCAATTCCTGGAGCCCTGTTTTTTGCCAGTGCCTTCACTGTAGCTTAGACTTCTTCCTTTAATACCATTGGTTCTTGATCATATGCTACCTCCCGAAATGGCTGAACATCAACCAATTCTTTTTAGTAGAGTGATTCTGTATATTCCTTTCATCTTCTTTTGATGCTTCCACATCGAAACTCGAGGCTTCAATTTTTGTCTTCAGTTCTTTCAGCTTGAGAAACGCTGAGCGAGTTCTTCCCTCTTGGTTTTCATACTCGAGGTCTTTGCATATGTCATTATAATACTTTACTTTGTCTTCTCCGGCCACCCTTTGAAATCTCCTGTTCAGCTCTTTTTCTTCATCATTTCTTCCACTTGCTTTAGCTGTTCTCGGTTTAAGAGCAAGTTTCAGGGTATCTTCTGACATCCATTCTCATCTTTTCTTTCCTGTCTTTTAATGGAGCTCTCTGGTGGCGCAGTGGTTAAGAGCTTGGCTGTTAACCAAAAGGTCAGCAGTTCAAATCCAGCAACCGCTCCTTGGAAACCCTATGGGGCAGTTCTAATATTCCGTCTAATAGGGTTGCTATGAGTCGGAATCGACTCGATGGCACGCGTTTTATTTTGTTTTGTATTTTTGCTCTCTTCATGTATGATGTCCTTGATGTCATCCCACAACTCCTCTGGTCTTTGGTCGCTAGTGTTCAATACATCAAAACTGTTTTTATTCTTCAGATGGTTTCTAGATTCTGGTGGGATATACTCAAGGTCATTCTTTGGCTCTTGTGGACTTGTTTTAATTTTCTTCAGCTTCAACTTGAACCTGCATATGAACAACTGATGGTCTGTTCAGCAGTCAGCCCCTGGCCTTGTTCTGACTAATGACATGAGCTTCTCTGTCATCTCTTTCCACAGATCTGACTCCTGTGTATTCCATCTGGCAGGGGCCACGTGTAGAGTCACCATTTGTCGAAAAAAAGTATTTGCAATGAATAAGTTGTTGGTCTTGCAAAATTCTATCACGTGATCTCCAGCATTGTTTGTATCACCAAGACCGTATTTTCCAACTACCAATCCTTCTTCCCTGTTTCCAACTTTCTCATTCCAATCACCAGTAATTATCAACGCGTCTTGACTGCATGCTTGATCAATTTCAGACTGCAGAAATTGGTAAAAATCTTCAATTTCTTCATCTTCTGTCTACGCCAATAAAGTTGGAAGACAGCTACCCGGCCGAGTGGAAGAGATCCGTATTTGTGCCCATTCCAAAGAAAGGTGATCCAACAGAACGCGGATATTATCGAAAAATATCATTAATATCACACGTAAGTAAAATTTTGCTGAAGATCATTCAAAATGGTTGCAGCAGTACATTGACAGGGAACTGTCAGAAATTCAAGCTGGATTCAGAAGAGGACATGGAACAAGGAATATCACTGCTGATGTCAGATGGATCTTGGCTGAAAGCAGAGAATACCAGAGATGTTTACCTGTGTTTTATTGACCATGCAAAGTTATCTGACTGTGTGGATCATAACAAATTATGGATAGCATTGAGAAGAATGGGAATTCCAGAACACTTAATTGTGCTCATAAGGAAGTCTAAGAGGCAGTCGCTTGAAAAGAACAAGGGGATACCGCATGGTATAAAGTCAGGAAAGGTGTGCGTCAGGGTTGTATCCTTTCACCATACTTATTCAATCTGTATGCTGAGCAAATAATTCAAGAAGCTGGACTATATGAAGAAGAACACACATCAGGACTGGAGGAAGACTCATTAACAACCTGCGTTATGCAGGTGACACAACTTTGCTTGCTGAAAGTGAGGAGGACTTGAAGCACTTACTGATAAAGACAGACTGCAGCCTTCAGTATGGATAACACCTCAACACAAAGAAAACAAAAATCCTCACAACTGGACCAATAAGCAACATCATGATAAATGGAGAAAAGACTGAAGTTGTCAGGGATTTCGTTTTACTAGAATCCATGATCAACACTCCCGGAAGCAGCAGTCAAGAAATCAAACGATGCACTGCACTGGGCAAATCTGCTGCAAAAGACCTCTTTAAAGTGTTGAAAAGCAAAGATGTCACTTTGAGGACTAACGTACCCAAGCCATGGTATCTTCAATCACCTCATATGCATGTGAAAGCTGGAGACTGAATAAGGAAGACTGAAGAACTGAAGCCTTTGAATTGTGGTGTTGGCGAAGAATACTGAATATACCATGGACCGCCAGAACAACGAACAAATTAGTCTTGGAAGAAGTACAGCCAGAATGCTCCTTAGAAGCAAGGATGGCAAGACTTCGTCTCATGTACTCTGGACATGACATCAGGAGGGACCAGTCCCTGGAGAAGGACGTCATGCTTGGTAAAGCAGAAGGTCAGCGAAAAAGAGGAAGACTCTTGACGAGATGGATTGACACAGTGGTTGCAACAATGGGCTCAAGCACAGCAACTATTGTGAGGATGGCACAGGACTAGGGAGTGTTTCATTCTGTTGTACACAGGGTTGCTATGAGCTGAAACCGACTCGACAGTACCCAACAACAATAGACTAACACTGCCTCATTGACGTAACAAAGAAAACTCACCCCAAATGGGATTATACCACAGGTATGTTGTTGTGTGGGAATCAAGCTGTTTCCAACTCAGAGCGACTCTACAGGACAGAGCAGATCTGCCCCATATGGTGTCCTAGGCTATAATCTTTATGGAAGCAGACTGCCAGGTCTTTCCTCCTGCAGAGCTGCTGGTGGGTTTGAGCTTCTGACCTTTTGGTTAGCAGCTAAGCACTTAACCACTGAGCCACCAGGCTCCTTAACCACAGGTATACCCACAGCTGTCGAGTTAACTCCAACTCATAGCAACCTTATAGGACAGAGTAGAACTGCCACATAGAGCTTTCCAAGGAGAAGCTGGTGGATTCGAATTGCCAACCTTTGGGTTAGCAGCCTGAGCTCTTAACCACTGCATCACCAGGGCTCCAGCCACAGGTATAAAAATCTGTTGCCATCAATTCCAACCTGTGGCAACCCTATATGACAGAAAGAACTGCCCCAGAGGGCTTCCAAGGAGCGGCTGCTAGATTTGAACTGCCGACCTTCTGGTTAGCAGCTGAATGTTTAACCATTGCGCCACCAGGGCTCTACTACAGGTAGAGGAGTAGGAATTTACAACATATTATCTTGGGGAGACACGATTTAATCCATAACAGTTGCAACCACTAATGGGTCATGAATAAATTAGTGTGTCACATTAAAAAAAAAAAAAAAAGGGACTATGATAGAAAATCAGAATACATTCTACATAACATGATTAAGAATTGTTCTATGAAAGTGTTCTTTCAGTTACATATGAATATAAGTCTGTATATACTGAGATATGATATACTGTATATTTCTTATTCTGAGTCATCATCAAACAAGTCTTAAAGCCATTGATCTGGACTACAGCAAGGCCTACTAACTAGCCTTTTTGCCTCTGATCTTTTACTCCTGCAATCTGCCCTGCTAACTGTTAGGAATTAATCCACTAGAATAGCTATAAAAAAAGATGGACAATAAGAAGTGCTGGCAAGGAAGTGAAGAAATTGGAGCCCTCATACATTACTGGTGGGAATGAAAAACGGTATGACATAGCCACTTTGGATAACAATTTGGTAGTTTCTCAAAAAGGTAAACACAGAGTTATCGTATTTACCCAGCAATTCCACTCCTAGGTATCTGCTTAAAAATTATTGATCGAAGCCCTGGAATGGGAGACTCAGAAGAGGCACAGTGAGTCCTTTCGGAGCCTAATGTGTGAGACTGGATCACTGGCAGGACAATGGAGAGTGACACACATTCAAAACGGCGCAGTCAGCCGCCATCTTTGAGCAAGGCACCACTGTCTCTGACTCTACTCAAAACCCAATGGTGAAGAGATGTGGTTGCTACACTGCCCTTGTTTTCTAAGGAGGAGTTTAGGTTTCTAGCAGGGCTTGGGTCCATAATTTCTCCTGTTCCTGTTAACCCAACTTTTAAAAATTCGCGTCTGCTCCAGTTTCACTTCCTCGTGCACGACTGAACCAGGAAGAAACCAGTTCAAAGCTCTGGTTTAAAGTACATTTTAGTCATAAAGTAGAAACCAGTAAGACTTACATTCATCTTTACACTATCCTCGTGGATTACATAAAATAACTGACAAATGACAGGCATTCACAATGGACTTCTCAAATTCCAGTTTTAATATGTAAAAATTTTTTCTTTAACAATCAAAAAACTTCTTTTATCATCACTGCAGTTCAAATGTCCAAATGATGCTCCAAGGTATTGCTGGCATCAGTGAATCCAAAATCATCAAATAGGATTTCGTTTTATTTATTTACTTATTTTCTTATACAAAATGTGTTTCTTGGGATGGTTTCCCACTCATCTTGATTCAGGGTACTTTTAGTGTTGCTTCCGTCTGAAGGATCATCCTTCTAGAAGCCTTGCTTTTCCTCGTGTAGACTGGCAGAGGGCCATGGAGCAGTCAACAAGCAAAACTACTGTTTGAGCATGGCTAAAGACCGTGGTGATTTCATAGCATCTTGGGCATTTCACCCCGTGAAGTAGGAATTAGGGCTCTGCACCAGGCACTTCTTGTGTTTCCTCTCCTCTTCTGGAGAGGGATGAAGGGCCTTTGTGAGAGGCATGTTTGCGTGGGGAGGTCTTCAACACCGGAGAAGAGGGATGAAGGGCCTTTGCGAGAGGCATGTTTGCGTGGGGAAGTCGTCATCACCGGAGAAGAGGGATGAAGGGCCTTTGGGAGAGGCATGTTTGCGTGGGGAGGTCATCATCACCGGAGAAGAGGGATGAAGGGCCTTTGTGAGAGGCATGTTTGCGTGGGGAGGTCGTCAACGCCGGAGAAGGGGGATGAAGGGCCTTTGTGAGAGGCATGTTTGCGTGGGGAGGTCGTCAACGCCGGAGAAGGGGGATGAAGGGCCTTTGTGAGAGGCATGTTTGCGTGGGGAGGTGGTCAACGCCGGAGAAGAGGGATGAAGGGCCTTTGTGAGAGTCATGCTTGCGTGGGGAGGTCGTCATCACCGGAGAAGAGGGATGAAGGGCCTTTGTGAGAGGCATGTTTGCGTGGGGAGGTCAACACCGGAGAAGAGGGATGAAGGGCCTTTGTGAGAGGCATGCTCGCGTGGGGAGGTTGTCAACACCACCAGAAAGGCTACAAATAGGATTTCAATCATCTCCTTCCAAGTACAAGTTCTCTCACCAAGGATGGCTCAAGATCACTCCAAGAAGCCACTTCTTCAGCTTCTGCTTATGCATTACCAACTACTAAAGAAATATATTTGTGTCATCTGCCACAAGTTCAAAATATAATTTTATTATCACTTTTTCTTCCATTCGATTATTCTCTAACATTTATTTATTTATTCTCTAATACTAATTGTTCTCTAATGCAGAGACTACACCAGAAATGAAACCCAATCTGGGACAGTGGAAGGACTTCTGATGTCAGGTCATCCAACTATTAATCCTGCCCTTTCTATCCGTAGTTGTACATGATCTTAGAGAAATTAGTTGATAAAATTAAAATATTAGTCCATATTTATATGGTACGTTATAGTTTTCAACTACTGTATCATTTGATCCTCAAGAAAAACCTCATGAGATGGACAAAATAGGAATTATCATCTCCATTTTAAGCCAAGGAACCTGAGGTTTAAAAAGCTAAATGATCTGAAAAGCCACCTCATTTCCCTTTCTGAGCACTTACTATATAAAACTATTCTGGGTGTCCCACTGCATAGAAGAAGTACAAGACAATAACTGTGTGAGTACATTTTAAGGCCAGAGAGCATCACTTGCAGCTATCGATCCTCGGGACCTCCCTTTCCTATTTCTTTCTCTAGCTTTTTGAAAAGTTAATACAGCCTGGGGTTACTCTATCTCTCCTCTTGCATCGATGATCAGAATGCAAACTGGTACCATGTTTTTAGGAGGCCAAAAGCCTTTTAAAAGGTTATTTCATTTGACCCAGGAATCACAACTGCATGATATTATCTTAAAGAAACAGAGATGTTAAGCAAAACATGGCTAATAACAGCAAAAAGAAAAGGAAACAAGGTAATCATCCAATATCAGAGAATAGGTTAAATAAATTGTGGTCTACCTACTCAATGGAACACTACACATTCACTGAAAACAATACTGATCCTATTTACAGACACAGAAACATTTGTATGATAAACCGTTCAATGAAAAGAGCAAGTATGCTGTTGTTGTCGTTTGCTGGCATCAAGTCAGACCCCAGCTCATGGCAACGCCATGTGTTACAGAGTAGAACTACTCCATAGGGTTTTCTTGGCTAAAATCTTTACAGAAGCAGATTGCCAGGCCTTTCTTTTGCAGAGCTACTGGGTAAGTTTGAACAGTCAAACTTTTGGTTAGCAGCTGACTGCAAACTGCTTGAGGCACCCAGGCTCCTAAGAGCAAGTATATGATTAAATTATTGAAAAAATATGAAGATGCTTATATACCAAATGCTAACCTCAGAATCACAGAATTAGAACTAATTTTCTTCTATCTACTTCTATGGATTTTATAAATTTTACAATAAACATTACTTAATGAAGATACCACAAATCCTTTTTTAAAAAAATAAACAAATCAAAAATGTCAAGTTATTTTCCACTCTAACAGGAATACAGAGGAGTGTATCTCTCCATATGACAAACAGGAGAGGTGCATACCAGGAGTTCATCCATGCTCGTCTGACACTTCTCAAGGTTTATCCGTTTGATTGCCACCTTCTCCTTCTTAGGGATACAAAACGCTGCTTGGACCACAGCAGTTGCTCCACTCCCTAAAAATAAACAAATAGGTAGATAAATAAACAAATGGATAAACAGGTATAAATATGGTATTTCTACTTCCCACACGATTTAAACATAAGGAATCCTCATCGTGTTCCTATACCGAACAACAGATGCATAGAAACAACCTGCAGAGTAGGATGTCAGGAAGAGAAAAAGCCTTGACCATTTCATAGACTTGACAATAAATACCAATGCAAAAGAAAAAAAAATCAAATTGTTAGGGCTCTGGTTCTAGGACAAAATGGCACAGGCTTACATTTCCCTGCTCCTCCCCTCTAAGTACAAGTAAATACCTAGAAATAATTCCACAGACAATCATAAAAGGACTCTGAAAGAATGAAGACTACAGGCTGACTAGGATCCTCAGGGCTTGAGGAACAGCACCACGGTGAGGTCACAGATTTCTTTCTGTCTTCTGTATATCCTGGACTGGGCACCCAAAGGACCTGCAACCAGGAACCACCAACAGGCATAGATAAAAACAACAACAAGGGGGCATCCCAGCAGAGACCTAATAAGGAGACACATTCTCCAATACCCACCCAGCACAGCAGCAAGCCCAATCCACCACAGCATCGAGCATCAGTGGGACCTCCAGCCCACATCTCAAACAGCAGGCCAGATTCACCGCAATGGCACCGAGGTCCCTATCACATGCCTGGGACAATGCTGAGCCAAAAGTCAGCCTGGGTGGCACCTGTAAAGCTCAAGCAGGATCTGCAGCAGTGCCAAAAGACCAACACAGAAGAAAACAGCATTCTGAAAACTAAAATGTCACAGGAGTGACCACTCATAAGGTAAACAAGGACTACATATTAAACCCAAATAGGAAACCAGCTGCTATAAGTCAACCCCGACTCATGGTGACCCCACGTGTGTCAGAGTAGAACTGTGCTCCCTAGAGTTTCCAATGGCTAATTTTTTGTAAGTAGACCACAAGGCCTTTCTTCCAAGACGCCTCTGGGTAGACTTGAACCTCCAGCCTTCTGGTCTGCAGCCAAGGAGTTAACTGTTTGCACCATCTGAGGACTTCTGCTAAAACAGAAGATTCAGATAGGATCAAGAGACTCCTTTTAAAATAGGCACCTGTACAGAGACCAAAGTTTATTAGTGGTTACCAGGGGTGGGTGGAAGGGAGGGGGAAAGGAGGACTCAATACTTAGGAGACAGTGAATTTCTGTTAAGGGTGATGGAAAAACTTGGGAACAGATAAGGGTGATGGTGGAACAATGGTGAACACAGTCACTTAACTGTACATACGAAGAACTACTGAAATGGCAAATGTTTTTGTTACATATATGTGTACCATAATAAAAGAAAGAAAAAAGGAATCTCCTAATACCCAAAATGTACATGATACAACTGAAAATTCACACGTCACACCAAAAAACAGGAAAAACACAACTTAAATGAGAAAAGACAACCTACCAACACCAAGACGACTCAGATGTTAGACTTACCTAACAAGAATTTTAAAGCAGCCATCCGAAAAATGCTTCAACAATTACAAATTCTCTTGAAACAAATAAATAGAAAATACCAACAAAGAAATAAAAATTATTAAAAAAAAGAACCAAATGGAAATTATATAACTGAAACATACAATTACTGAAATAAAAGGAAACCACTGGGCGGCAGAGGCCAGGCAGCCCAGCTTTGCAAAGGTTCTCGGCGCACTGCAGACCGCAGGCACCCGGCACACGCCCTCCCCGCCGCCAAGATGCCAGAGAGGAAGGTCAGCTCGGATCAAGGGGCAGTGGAGGAGGAGCCCAAGAGGAGATCGGTGAGGTTGTCAGTTAAACCTGCTCCTGCAAGAGGGGAAACGAAGCCAAAAAAGGCAGCGAAAAAGGATAAATCTTCAGATAAAAAAGTGCAAACAGAAGGGGATAAGGGAGCAAAGGGAAAACACGCTGAAGTGGCCAACCAAGAAACTAAAGATTTACCTGCAGGAAATGGAGAAGCTAAAAACGAGGAGGATCCAGCCTCTGATGAAGCGGGGGACAAAGAAGCCAACTCTGACTCATGTTTGTCTACCATGTCTTATCAGTGGTCCCGGGATCTCCCTTCTTGAACAATCCAGAGGAATATTTTTATCAATTATTTTGTAAATGCAAGTTTTTTAATAGCTCTAGAAACATTTTTAAGAAGGAAATCCCACTTTATCCCATTTTTTAAGTGTAAATGCTTTTTTTTAAGAGGTGAAATCATTTGCTGGTTGTTTATTTTTTGATGCAACCAAAAAATAGTGGGATGCTGAATTGGGGGAGGCTTTGACTGTCCTCGGTGTCAACGGAACATTCCATGTGGGGGGGGGCAATTTTTATATCCCGTAATACAAAGCACACTTAATGGCAATTTGGAGTCACAGTAATGCATTTGTATGTCTTGAACATTTTAAATTACTTTTCTATTTCCATGTTGTTTTTTAGTCGAACTGTTTCCTAAAGAAAACTGCTCCCCGTCATGGCGCTCTTTGTCAGCACCGTGCATTCTGTGAACATCTTTGCTCGTGGTAGTCCAGTTTTCCTAATAACCTTGTTACGTGCTGTGAAAGACTGAACATTTGAGTGTGTAGTGTGTGTGATATTAAATTGTGAATCAGTGGGACTCATGTTGTAACAGCTCATCAACAACTGAAGATAATTGGTACTTGATATCCTCTTAAGGAAAATCTACACCAAATTTAAGGCTGGAATTTAGAAAAGAATCGTAACTACACGTGGCTTTGTAGATTTTTGGTACGTACATTAAGAACCGTGTACAGACTGTTCATAACGTCTCTGTACTGATCCACAAAGCCACCAATAAATACCAATTACGGGGAAAAAAAAGAAATTGCTGACTACGCTAACTAGCAGAGTAGAGATAACGGGGGACGGAATCGGTGAGGTTGAGGACGGGTCCATCCTTCACTCAGTCTGAACAACAAAGAGAAGTAGGCTGAAAAAAATAACAGGAGTCTCAGGAAGCAGTGAGATATGATAAAAGATCTACTATCCATGTGATAGATAAAATAATGGCCCCAGAGACGTCCATATCCTACTCTCTAAAACCTATGAACATTTTACCTTGTATGGCAACAGCGACTCTGCAGCTATGATTAAACTAAGGGTATTGCGACGGGAAGACTATCCTGGGTTATCTGGGTGGCTCAGGGTAATTACGACAGTCTGAGACACATGCAGTCACCGCGAGTCAGAACCAACATGACGACAACTGTTTTTTAACAAGAGGGAGGGAGGTGGGTCAGAGTCGGAGAAGATGTGACAATGGCAGCACAGATTGCAGTGATGCAGCCACGGCCAAGGAGCAGAAACTGATACCTAACACAACACGCTAACAAGAGAAGCTACATACGAAAGGTCACACGTTGTATGATTCCATTTATATGAAATGTCCAGAACAGGCAAATCCAGAGAGACAGAAAGTGTATCAGTGGGTGCCAAGGGGTTGGAAGAAGGGGGAAATAAGGAGTAACTACTTAATGAGTATGGGATTTCTTTCTGGAGTGATGACAATGTTCTGGAATTAGAGTGGTGATGGCTGCAAAACATCGTGAATATACTAAAAACCATCAAATTGCACACTTTAAAATGGTGAATTATATGTTACATCAATTTTATCTCAAATTTTTAAAACAAGGATGAGGAAACACTACAAACAACTTCAGCTCATAATGCAACAATTTAGGGGAAAAAACAGACCAATTCTTCAAAAGTGACAAACCACCAAAACTAACCAAGATGAAACAGATAACAGATAGTCCTACAACCATGAGGACACTGAGTTTGTAATTGAAAAGCCCCCGAAAAACCTCCAGGCTCGGATGGCGTCACTGGAGAACTTTACCAAACTTTAAAGAAGCATTAACACCCATTTTACACAATATTTTCCAGAAATAAAAAAGAAAAGGACACTTGCCAACTCATGAGGCCAGTATTACCAATAACAAAACCAGAGATATCACAAGAAAACTAAAGACCAATTATTTCTCATGAACTTAGACACAAAATATTAGCAAAGTGAATCCAGCAAAAACCACACCACAACCAAGCAGAGTTTATTCCAGGTATGTAAGGCTGGTTCAGTATCCAAAAAAACCAATATAATCGATCATATCAATAAGCTAAAGAAGAAAAATCAAGGGATCTTATCAATGGACCCAAAAAAAGAATTTGACAAAATCCAACACCATTCATGATAAAAGCCCTCGGCAAACTAGGAAAAGAAGGGAACTTCTTCAACTGCTTAAAGAGTACCTGCAGAAAAAACCTACAGCTAACATCACACTCAAGGGTGTAAGACTGAATGCTTTCGATCTAAGACTGGGAACAAGCCTAATACGTCTCTCGCCACTTTGTACAACAATTGGATGAGAGCAGACATCCATAAGCAAAAAATCAACCTCAACCTAAACCTCACACCTTACACAAAACAGATCACAAACTTAAATGTGCAGCACAAAACTATAAAACTTTTAGAAAAAAGCATAGAAGAAAATCTTTGGAACCTAGGACTAGTCAAAGACATGACACTAACTGCAAGATCCGTGACAGGAGAAACTGATAAACTGGATGTCATCAAATTAAAAACATCTGCTTTGCAAAAGACTCTGTGAAGAGGATTAACATATTTGACAAAAGACTTGTATCTAGAATATGTAAAAAAAAATAAAACTCCCCAAACTCATCATTTTATAAAAACAAATAATCCAACTAGAAAATGGGCAAAACACACATTTCACCTAAGAGGACATGAAAAGATGGTCACCAACATTAATCATTAGAGAAATGCAAATTAAAACTACAACATCACTACACACCTATCAGGATGGATAAAATTTTTTAAAAACTGACAAAACCCAACAATGGCAAGGGATGTGGTGAAACTGGATGACTGATAACCACATACTAGTGGGGACATAAAATGGTACAGCCACTGTGGAAAACAGTTTCGGTTATTTCTTTTCAATCTAAAAATGGACTTAACCTTAAAACCCGGCAATTGCACTCTTGGACATTAATTCCAGAGAAATGAAAATTCATGTTCATACAGAAACTTGTACATGAATGCTCACAGCAGCTTTATTCCAAGTAGCTAAGAAGAGGAAACGACCCAAATATCCTTTAACAGGTGAATGGTTAAACGAAGTGTGGCACACATCTATACCACGGAATACTACCTAGCAACAGAAAGAACTACTAATACGCTCAGTAACCTGGATGAACCTCCAAGGCATTTTGCTCCGTGAAAAAAGCCAATCTCAAAGTTACATACTTTGTGATTCCCTTGATATAACTCATGAAATAATAAAATTATAGAGATGGAGAAGAGATTAGTAGTTTCCAGGGGTCAGGGGTGTGGGGAGCGGGGGTAGCTGTGGCTGTAAAGGAGTAGCCCACAGGAGCCTTGTGATGATGGGACAGTTCTGTATCTTGGGTTTGGTGGTAGTTAATGAAGCATCACATTTTGAAACAACACAGAACTATACACACACACAAATGAATGCATGTATAATTGATAAAATCTGAGTGAGATCTGTGGATTGTTAAAAAAAAAAAAACTGCCTAGGCCTCAATCCATCCTCTACCATTAATGAAATAATCTTCAAACACCACTCCTCAGCTCACTGAACCACAGCAGCTACTGGATACTGTACTACTTGGGGACAACTGAACAAGTCCACTTATTTCCCAGATGCAATTTACTCTATCCCCACCTCCATGCCTCTGCGCACGCCATTACCCTACTTTCTATGTACCTTCCCCTCCTTTCAAAGCCCAACTCAAAACTCACCTAATTTCAGGTAGCTCCATGGGAAACAGACTTAGATGTAAACTTCAGCTCCACGCTTATCAGCCGGTTAAGTTTCTGTTTCCTGACTATGTGCCTCGAACACGGCAGTGCTCAAAAACTGGTCGCAATCAGGAACTGGATGAATGGACACAGGGAACCCGGGGTGGAAAGGGGGAGAGTGCTGTCACATTATGGGGACTGCACCCAATGTCACAAAACATACGTGTATAAATATTTTGAATGAGAAATTAACTTGAGCCGTAAACTTTCCCCTAATGCACAATATTTTTTTTTAAATGGCCGCTGTTGTTAATTTATTTACCCATCATCTTACTGTTAAACACTTAAACTGTTAAAAGACATCTTCATGTCTCCTCAAGTACTGCGCATAGGGTAGGGCTTAATCTGATACTAAGCACTTGAATCTTTCCCAAAGTACACTAGGGCAAATTATCCCCCCAGCTCCCCACCTCTACTCCCATTACAACTGTAGTTTCTTCAACGTGTTAATTATTAGTTATGACGACACATTAAACTTTAGTTCTCCTGTACAAACAGGCAGCCTTGGATAGAGAGGAACTGTAAGCATTAAAAAGGAAAAATGTGCAAATTCTGTCCCCCTTCCTCTTCATTCTCTCATCCTCTTCCCAAATAAAAAGTGATTTCACCAAAATGTTATTCCAAGAGGGTATGGGGAAAGAAAAAGCACTGTATGTACTGCCATAGTAATCACAGTAAGAGAAAGCAGCTTTAATCAGAATGCTTCATGTAAAACGTACTGTGCTCTCAATATTCTGGAGGAGATGCTACTCCCCCACAGAGATTCCCCCATAGAGGACGTTCACATAGGAGAAGGAGATTTTACTTTAATAAGGTCCTACAGTGGCTGTGAGATGAGCTAATCAGATCAACTAAGAGAGGCACAGTGAAGCTTGTGAGAGCCAGAACTTGCCGGGACTTACTTGTCTGTCCGGGTCTCGCAAGTTCTGCGCCGTTGACAGAGTGGGGTCCTATCACTTTTCTATCGCTCTCCATTAGTGGAAAATATTTACGTTTTCCTTCTCTGACAGGTTTCGCCTTACACGGGTTCCAGCTTTCACAGGTTTTACTGTTCATGACAGTTTAGCATTGGGGCTTTGAAACTTAAATTTCTAAGTGAAAAAGTGAAGAGCAAAATACTATATAAAAAGATGTGTTTTTTATGTATTAAAGTTTTCTGAAAGGATACACAAGAACTATTAAGAGTGGTTCACAGGGAGGGAAAAGGGAGCATCTTGTCAGCAAGAATCAGATCGTGATGCTGGCTGCACAAGTCTGAACACACTGAACTGTATACTTTAAAAGCGTGAATTTTAGGATATGTAAATTATATCTAAAAGCTGTTTTAAAAAAACTCCTCCAAGTGTGCCACTAAATTTCTAATAATAATGTGCTACCAACATTAAATATTAAAAAACATTATATTACATACACGTAATTGTATAATTTGGTTTGATCTATTTGAAAATCCTTGGCTAAAGCCACACTTACAAAAGTATAGTTAACACCCACCTGGATAAACTCAGACCACAACTGTAACAAACTAAGTCAAAACTCTGCACAAAAACATGGAATGCAAAATTTTAAATAAAATCCCATATTTAAGAACATTTACCACTCAGTGACATCATCCAATAGTGCACTTGAACTATTTTGACAATCGTTTAGGAACACTAACGAATTGCTTTATAAAACTCATCCAACAAGCTACTTTGAAACAGTTTGCAGTCTGTCTGCTTCTTGATTGAGCTCCCTTACACTGCACAGAAGTACGGATGGAGCGGAGTCAGGCCGAATGGTAGTGCTTGTAAGAAGCTCCTCCCTCACATCCTTTCCTCTAATTCCTCCTGCAGGTAAACCCTGAAAAAAACTCCGGGCCTCTGGCCTTCAGTGAAGGGCCACTGCTCCACTCTGGGAGGCACCCGAGCAGACAAGAATCCTGCAGGCCAGGTAGCTGCCTGGCTAAGACCAGAGGCCTTCTCAGAAGATACAATTTGACCCCTACAGGGTACCTTTGGTTCCAGATACAGACATCTACTGTGTAACGCGTGCTCACTGATTCTCCATAATTTTAATTTTCACAAATGTACTATCCAATGGTATTCTTTTTAACCAGTATTAATTCTCAAACCAGTTATTCCACCCCTGGATAATCCAACATTGATTATTTATCTTATATACACAAAATCTGAAATATCAGCCTTAAATATACTTAATGGCATGTCTACATAAACCAAAACTATCACAGGGTTAAAAAATAGAGACACTTAAAATTTTGCATTACATGTTTTTGTGCAGAGTTATGACTTAGTTTACCAAAAAAAATCCAAACCCGTTGCCATCAAGTCGATTCCGACTCATAACGACCCTATAGGACAGAGAAGAACTGCTCCATAGGGTTTCCAAGGAGCGGCTGGTGGATTCAAACTGCCCACCTTTTGGTTAGCAGCCGTAGGTCTTCCTACCGCACCACTTGGGCTCCAAAGTTTAGTTATTATTAATTCCTTACCAAAAAAAACTGCAGTTGAGTCAACTCCAACACATGGTGACCCCAAGTGTTTCAGAATAGAACTGTGTTCCACGGGGTCTTCACAGTTGTGACCCTTCAGAAGCAGACAGCCAGGTCTTTTTTCCAGGCAGGTGGATTCAACCTCCAACCCTTCAGTTACAAGTAGCCCAGCACTTAACTGTTTGCACCACGCAGGGACTCCTTATTAATTCCTAGTCATTATTAAACACAGAACCAAATTTTCAATAATAATAAAACACCAAATCTAGGCTTATCAATCATAACTATTTATACACTAAAGTAACTTTCTTCCACTCAAAGATTCATTCACTTAACAAATCTCCTTAGGAGCAAGATATTAAGTTCTGGTGTGATTTCACAAACGGACAAAAAGACAAGTTGCAAACATTTCCCATACCTGAGACTAAAAAGAGAACGGCAGGCCCCAGTTCTTCCACGCTAACAATTAATTTCATTAATCTTCATATGAACTTCCCAGAACAAATGTCAAAGTATTTTCCAGCAACTGAAAAGTATTTTAAGGTTCCAACATAAAGGTTTATAGTAATGTAGAAAAACTCACTACTTTCTGAAAAATGTTGAATTGAAATCATGGTATATATATTTTTAAAGTAATAAAATATATATAACAATAAATATATACATTAGCCTTATGAACAGTGAAATAAAATTATTTGAAATGGCAAAAAAAAAAAAAAAAACTATTTCAACATCACTAATCAGCATAGCCAACGATGCTCTATCTTTCATTAGAAAAAAATTACTTCACAGAAAATAACAATAAAGTAATTAAGAGGACAGGAACGAATATCTTAAAAATTTATTCAAAATTAGTCTCTAACATTTTTCAAAAATCTAATAACATAGAAGGGTTAGAGACACAAATGAAAAAATCATCTCTCCTTTAAAGCAGGTTCTTTAATGCTGTGTTTTTCAAACTACAAGTTAATTTACTGAGTTTCAATTATCATTTTTTCTTAAAGTAAATAGAATCAAGTAGAAAACATTAATATGCATTGTGCATAGCAAGGGTAAACATTATTCTGTAAAACTTTAACTTCAGTTTAAATACACATGCATATGTGTAAAAGGTATCTCTTGGGAATGGTTTAAATTGTGAAAGCTACTTCCTTAATGCCCTCTAGTAAGCATGAGTTGTTGGCCTACCTGAAGAATAATATAATGAAAATTTCAGAACAATTTCCAACAAAACATCCTAATTTTGACTTTCACTATTTTACACTGTTGAGTGACCTCGACGCACCACTCCTGCATCCCCACTTCTCCTACTCTTCTGTCCTCTTCCAGTTAGCTCCTTACCTGCAACTAAGTGTGTATCACGCACCGGAATGGAGGAACACAAAAATACCGGTGTGCCTTCTCCTGAAATGCTTCAGACTGGGCAACTCTTTACCTCCTGGGACAAAAAAGGAGCTGCCCAAAGGCATTGGAGGACTAAAAAAAATTTCAGTCTATTAGATCTAGAAATTTAAAAAAGAAAGTAAAAAATAGATATTACTCTTACCTGTGAGGAAAATTAATAAAATGAATCAAATCACTTGAGATTTTTCCCCCGAAATTTTGCCAGCCATCACTATGCTGTTGTTGTGTGCCCTCGAGACAATTCTGACTCACAGCGACCCTTTATGATAGAGCAGAACTGCCCCATAGGGCTTAGCAGGCTCAAGTCTTTATGGGAGTAGATCAGCAGGTCTTTTCTCCTGGAGAGCATCTGGTGGGTTCAAACCGTAGACCATTTGGTTAGCAGCCAAGCGCTTAACCACCGTGCTACCAGGGTTTCTTAGCCATCAGTATAACAGATACATATTCTAAAAACTGTGTTTTTAACTATTCTTTAGTAAGGTTTTACATTTATTAAAGAAAGCAGCTAGCCCAGACTGTTCATTCAGCAAGATGACTAAGGCATTATCACTTGAACCACAGAAAATACAGGAATTTACAATTTTGTGAACTCTTCTAAATAAGGTCCCTTGTCAGAGTCATGCTGAACATTAAGGTTCCTAGAACTGGAGAAATAGCTGTAAGAAAAGTCATCATCCTAAACATCATGCTATTTTCTCCATACGAAGATGGAAATGAAGACGCACTGCCATACGCTTTGAGTAATTATTCAAGCAGCCTGTGGTTCCGCAACGACTCATCCACTCGCTCTCCCATCCCAGCGGATGGGAACGCCATCCTTCCGGATGCTCCAGCCGAAACTCTTGGAATCACACTGACTCTCCTTTCTCTCACATCTAATCCAGCAGTACATCCTCTCACTTCACAATATGCTACATCCAGAACGTGACCACCCTCATCACCACCACTACTGCCTCTCCCCTGGACAGCCTGTCCTTCCACCGTGGCCCCTTACAAACCTGTTCTCCACATAGCACGCAAGCTACCCTTTTACAAAACAAGTCAGATCACTCCTCTGCTCAAAACCCTGCAATGATTTCCAGTCTTACTCAAAGCAAAACCAAGTTGCTACAATGACTTACAAAGCTTCACACAATCTGGACCGTATGTCCCTACCACCATCACTTGTCTGACCTCTTTAACTAGTCCTCTTTCTTTCGCACCCTGAGCTCGCCACTCTCAACTCCTACCGTTCCCTACGCACATCAGCATGCTTCTGCCTCAGTGCCTGGAGCAAACTTCCTGCAGATAACCACACCATTCACTTCTACACCGCCTTCATTCAGGTCTTTCTTCATTTGAAGAAAGCTATTTACAATTGCAACCCTGACTCCATCCCATTAGGCAGGGATATCTGCCTGCCTATCTCTCTGCTGTATCCCCAGCATCAAGTCTATGGCACATAACAGGAGTTCAATGAATATCTGCTGAATGGATTAATCAGTCACGTTGTGAAATGCATTTTGAAGGAGATAAAATACTCACCTGGGCCAGAAGAAACACAAAAGTGGCTGAGACTCCATGGGCATGACCTCACTATTATAATGATGAGCACTGGTGTTCACTGAGAGCACTTACTCTGTGAGCCAAGTATCACGCTAAGCGCTCTCTCCACTTACGTTTGTTTCCACCTATCCTCACAATAATCCCATGAGTTAGGTATTATCATCTCTATCTTACAAACAAGCCAAGCTAAGAATGAGGTCATACAGTTAGTAAGAGGCAGAGTTGGGGCCAGAAACCAGAACGACATGATATTTGAACACCATGCTCTTAATCAGCAGGCAAAATCCCTCATCAGATTAAAGCTAACATTTATTAATTGATCACTATGTGTCAGGTTAATTATTCACCTGAATATCTTATTTAACTTAACTCACCTAAAAAAAAAAAAAAAAAAAAAAAAGCCAGTATCTTTTAGTTGCCTATCAAACATAAAATCTCCACTTCTTTAATAAGAGAGCCCTGATCAATTTTGTTTGAAGTAACAACATGCTCAGCTACACAACTTCAATTCTCAATCTCCTTCGCAAATGTCCAGATTACACAGTTCTGGCCAGTAAAACAGAAATGCAACTCAGTGAGTAAGGCTTCCTGGAGAGAAGGCCCCTACCTCAGCTGTCACGTGCTTTCTGTCCTTCTGCCATATTCTTCCTTTCTTCCTGCCTGGAACACACGCATAGGGCTAGGGGGTGGAACAATGATTTTGGGAGAATGAGAGTAACATGCTCAATGTCACAGAGTGAAAAACGAGGAGCCTAGTCCCTGGGGCACCTAGACTGACATCTCCAGTCTTCTTATCATGTAAGGGGAAAAACTATTTTATTAAGCCCCTATTATTTCTGTTTTTCATTACATGTAGCCAAATGCAATCCCTCTTACACAACCCTATGAGGCTGCTGGCCCACTCCTGGCCTCACTGAAAATGTCTCCCATTCAGGGGGAAATACACTAACAACTAAGCATCACTCTACTGACAGAACATGAAGTCCTTCCATCTATGAGGGCTAGAGGAACCCCTACTTCAGACAGCAAGATGTGTGGCTCATGAACAACTGACAAAAATGAGCAAGGAGAGGGGGAGCAGAGAGTAAAACTAGTGGGTTGCCTTCACCAAATGTCAAAGCTAGGCGAATCATACCCTGCTAAAAACAAAAATTTTTTATGGATTTTTTTAATTTTAATTATGTTGTAAGTGAAAGTTTACAGCACAAATTAGTTTCTCATTCAAAAATTTATACACAAATTGTTTTGTAACATGGATTACAATCCCCATGTCAACACTCTCCTCTCCTCCTTCCCACCCCAGGTTCCCCATGTCCATTCATCCAGTTTCCCTGTCCCTTCCTGCCTTCTCATCTTTGCTTTTGGGCAGGTGTTGCCCATTTGGTCTTGTATACTTGACTGAACTAAGAAGCACGTTCCTCACGTGTATTAATGTTTGTTTTACAGGCCTGTCTAATCTTTGGCTGAAAGGTGGACTTTGGGAGTGGCTTCAGTTTTGCGTTCGCAGGGTGTCTGGGGCCCATAGTCTTGGGGGCTCCTCCAGTTTCTGTCAGACCAGTAAGTCTGGTCTTTTTTCGTGAATCTGAATTTTGTTCTACATTTTTCTCCAGCTCTGTCCAAAACCCTCTGTTGTGATCCCTTTCAAAGTGGTCGGTGGTTGTAGCCAGGCACCGTCTAGTTCTTCTGGGCTTAAAAACAAATTTTAATGAACAATTTTCGAATCCTAGTCTGAGGTGAACAGTAAGTATTTATCGAGACTTTTCAAGTTGAACAATAAAAACCAAATGGCACAGCCCCTGCCAGCCTGGCTTCCCTCCTTGCTGTCAAACTATATTGCTGGCAATACCACACACGGAAGGACCCTACACAGCTCTACTTCTATGTTCACCATAAGTCCCTAACTCCATCTAAACTTGCATGAGACCTGGAAGTAAAGAATAAAAAGCTGCAGTGATGTTCCAATACACATTAAAATAGATTCAAAATATTTAAGTTTTATAAGATAATAATCACATAGTATTTCATATTTTGTGGCAACACCAAAACTGGGACATATACGGGCAGGGGAAAAGAGAAAAGGACAAAGAGAAGAAGTCAGAGATAATAACAACTACCACTTATGAAGCATTTAAAATAAGCTAAATACTTTCCATAAGCAATTACACTTAATCCACGTAACAGCCCCGATTACACTTAATCCACGTAACAGCCCCAATTACACTTAATCCACGTAACAGCCCCAATTACACAGGTACTATTATCCCCATTTACAGATAAAAAGCTGACACTAAAGCCAGTTATATAACTTGCCCAAGATCATGGAGCTAGTAAGAGGCAAAGCCAGGTCAGTCTAACCCTTAAGCAGGGGGCTGAACCAGTTCAAACCAGTTCTGTTATGGCCAAGGAAGCGAAACCAGAACAGACCAGAATTTTTACAATTTGTGTGATCTGGAACAACAACCAGAAAAGGAAAAATTACGGATGGAAGCTCTGGAATGGGAGACTCGGAAGATGCGTAGTGAGCCCTTTCAGGGGCCTGATGCATGACAGAGGACTGTGGAGAACGAGACACATTCAAAGCGGTGCAGTCAGCCACCATCTTTGAACGGAGCACTGCTGTTTCAGCTCTGCTCAAAATCCAATAGGCCAGAGATCTGGTTGCTATGTGACACATACGCTGCCCTTGTTTCCTAAGAGGGAGATTAGGTCTCTAGCAAGGCTTCAACCCGTAATTTTTTCTGCTCCGGTCCATTCAAATTTTAAAAGTTAGGGTCTGTTCCGGTTTTGCTTCCTTGGCCGTGACTGAACCAGCAAGAACCAGTTCAAAGCCCTGCCCCCAAAGCCCATACTCCTAACACAGCTGATTATGGCACAACACCTGGTTAGAAATTCCAATGCAAGTAAGAGCTAGGAAGAAGCTCAAAAACACTGAGGAGATGAATGATTAATGGAGAAAATAATATTAACAGCTTTGACAAATAATTATACTTAATTTCAAATCTTGTCAAAGCATGTTTAAGATACGATTCTTTTAAAGAAAGTCCTCTGAAGTCTCAATTTGTCTACATTTAACAACCTCCTAGGAAAAGATTTTTCTTTCTCCTAGTTTTTTACCAGAAACAGGGAGAACAAAGCAGAATGTGAAAAATAACTAACCCCAAAATAATACAGTGCTAAGCAGCATATGTGAAAAAATTAAGAGTTCAAATAAATGTATATAGTTTGATGGTGAAGGAAACACCATTACACTGATTACCCTAGAATATAATCCTTTAAAAACAAAAAATTTAAATGACCTCCCAAATCCTTTTTTCTGGGCTCCAATAATTTGTTTTCTGAAAAATTGAGTGTACCTGAAGAAATCATAAAGATTTATTCTGAAGACTATAGATTATTATAAAATGCTGTTTTCCAGACACTTTGATATGGAAACAAAGTGAGAACACCCTGCTTTATTGAGCCTTGCTACTTGCGTTAGGCTGTAGTTAAGAGAATAACTTTTTTCTCCCTAATGAGACAGTAGGGTGAGACAGAGGGTATAAGGAGTAGAGTGGAAGGAGAGAAACTTTTAGAAACTTACTAATGAGTGAAGGAACATTAAAAACTTATAGAATATCACAAGGACTGGTCTCTGTTCACCAGGAACAACAGAGGAAGAGAGAGTCAAAACAGAAGGAGGATATGGAATGTGTGGCTAATTGTTTCCATGAACAACTGCCTCCTTCACCATGAGACCAGAAAAACCCGATGGTGCCTGACTACCATTACTCAACATTTTGATCAAAGATTCCATAGAAGAATCCAGATCAAAAGGGGGAAAATGTAAAACAGAATTTCAAATTCTCATGAACTCCTCACTTCCTGGAGCCATGGAGGCTGGAGGAACCCCTGAAGCTATTGTCCTGAGATGATCTTTAAACCTTAAAACTGAAGTCTTCTTAAAACCAAACAATAGTTTAGCTTAACTGGTGAAAAATGTCTGCCTTGAGCATTGTGCTCTTTAAGAACTATATGGGATCAAACTGACAGGAGCAACTTGAAAGATTAGATAGAACTTTAGGGGGCAGTGAATTTACGTTAATGGGGGAGGAACAACTCAGAAAAGGAGGGTAAGAATAGTTATACAACTCAAAGAATGTAATCAATGTCACTAAACGGTACATGTAGAAACTAATGAATTGGTGTGCGCTTTGCAGTGTATATTCTCAACAACAACAAAATAAATTAAATTAAAAAAATTTTTTTTTAAATACAAAATAGGATACTCACAAGAGAACAACTCCTACTACATCCAGAAGGATTATCTAAAAATTTCTGCTCATATCAGATTTTTTCATTGTAAGGGTATGTCCCTTAATCTGTGGGATTATGACCACCATCTTCCAGTTTATATCCAAAAACCAATCAAATGCAGATGCAAGAGCAAGGATCCTAAATTAGTCGACAGAAGAGCTGGACATCAGTATTTGCTCTGACGCTAATTAGCCCTGTAACTTTAGGCAGTCATTTTACCTCTCTCTGTTTCAGAGTCTTCATCTATAAAACAATGTGATTCACTTTCACACCATACACAAAAAATAACTCAAAATACATCAAGAGACCTAAATGTAAGAGCTAAAACTATAACATTTTGATGAAAACAGGAAAAAATCTTCATGATCTTCAGTTAGGTAAAGACTTCTTAAATACAAAACCAAATGCAACAAGTTAAATTTCATCAAAATTCAAACTTTCTCCACTTCAAGACATAATTAAGAAAATGAAAAGACAAGGTACAGAATGACAGAAAATTCTGAAATAATTTATCTGACAAAGAAAAATATATATACATATATCCAAAACAACATATATAATACATAAAATAGATAATGTGTATATATATGTGTGTGTAGACATATATATACACAGATACGTACACAGATAATAAAATTCTTACAACTCAATAAGAAAATAAGCAACCCAACAGGCAACCCAGATGGGCAGAAGATTTGAATAAACATTTCACCAAAGAAGATATACGAAAGGGTAATAAGTACTTGAAAAAATGCTCATCATCATTAGTCATTAGACAAAAGGCAAATCAAAACCACAATGAGATACCACTTCACACCCACTAAACCAAAACAAAACCCACTGTCAGCAAGTCAGTTCTGACTCACTAAGACCCCATGTGTTACAGAGGAGAAACACTCCGTAAGGCTTTCTTTGCTGTATTCTTTACAGAAGCAGATCACCAAGCCTTTCTCCCACAGCACTGCTGGATGGGTTCAAATTGCCAACTTCTGGTTAGCAGTCGATCCTAAACTGTTT